ACATCAGGACACACAGATTTAGCTCCTCCTTTGGGCTGCACTGGGTTCCATCAAATGAAGGGACCATGCTATATGTATCCACCTAACCTGCTGCACACTGGGGTGTGACTGCCAAGTCCAAGTGTGTATCTGTATATCAGAGATGCCCAAGTTACCCTCTCAAGAGAGACCAATTTATATTCCTTCCAGCACTGAGTGGTGGGCTCTTATTTCCCCCCACCCTAACAACCTTGAGTACCATTCTGTTTCTTAATGTTTGCCAATCCAATGAGTAAAAAATGACCCTCATTTGTACTTTAACTTTTATTTCCATAGTTATATATACTTTTATTCTTTGTGGACAATGTTTTCTTCTTTCTGATAACAGCCAGTGCTCAGTTTTATTCTGGGTTTTCTATTTAGTTGGTTCATGGAAGTTCTTTATATCTTCTGCATTTTACTATTTTGTTATGGATGTTGCAAGTATTTTATCTCCATCTATTGGCTCCCTTTTGTTTTGTTGGTGTTTGCTTTCAAGTGAAGCCTTTTTAAAATTATAGTAACTCATGTAGCAAAATGCCTGCCCCAAACTGTGCAGTTTTATTTTTAAAGTTATTTATTTATTTGGATGGCAGAGTGACAGAAAGGAGAGATAGGGGCACAGAAGGAGGGGGGAGGGAGAGAGAGAGAGAGAGAGAGAGAGAGAGAGAGAGAGAGAGAGAGAGACCTATATTCCATCTGCTTGTTCACTCCCCAAATGGCTGCAACAGCCAGGGCTGGGCCAGGAGCTGCATCCAGGTCTCTCACAAGGGCAGTGAGGACTCAAGTGCGTGGGCCATCACCTGCTGCCTCCGAGACTTAGCAGGAAGCTGGATAGGGAGTAGAGGCAGTGCTCAGTTCTAGGCACTGCAGTGTGGACTTACTCCAAACAGTAGCTTAGTCTGTTATACCACAACGCCCACTCCAAGAGTACAACTGTCAACGTTTAAGTGTACAAGTCAGTGACAACCTTGTGAAGCCATCATTACTACTTCTAACACATTCTGATCACCCCAAACAGAAACTCTGTAAACATTACACAACCACCTCCCATTCCTTCCTCCCTCCAGCCCTGGCGACTTTTAGTCTACTTTGTCTCCATGAGTTTTCCTCTTCTATGTATTTCATGTAAGTGGAATCATACAAAATCTGCCCTTTGTACCTGACTTATTTCATAGTTCACCCACATTGTAGCAGGTATCAGAACTTCATTGATGCTGAAGGCTGAATAATATTCCACTGTATGTATGCACACGTCACATTGTACTTATCCATCCAACTGTTGATGGACTCTTGCATTGCTCCTATGTTTTAGATATTCTGAATAATATTCGTTTAACAGGGGCATAGAAGTATCTGTTCGGGTCCCTGATTTCAATTCTTGTGGATATAACCCTAGGCATGGGAGTGCTGAGCCAAATGGTAGCTGTGTCTACCTTCTGAGAAACTCCCAAACTGTTTTCCATGGCAGCTGTGTTACCAAGCGTTCCCACCAGCAGTTTTGAGCCTTCCACTTTTCCCCACATCCTCACCAATGCTTATTTCCCTTTTTAAAAGTGGTAGCCATCCTAGTAGGTGTAAGTGGTATCTTATTGCAGTTCTTTCCTTCCAGTTAGCTAATGACCAACGGTGCTGTGCACCTTTCCATGGGCTTATTGGCTATTTGATTATCATCTTTGGAAAAAGGCCTATTAAAACTCTTCGCTCATGTTTTGCATTGGGTTGTCTGGGTTTTGTTGTTGAGTTTTAGGAGTTCATACATTCTGCAGGCTGGTGCACTAGGCAAGTCAGTAGCATGGCTCCACTCAAATCTGAATGCCTCAGAACCAAGGACGCCAGTGAGGGAACTCTTGGTCCCATCTGCAGTCCTGTGAGCCCAGGGGAGCCACGGGTGCCAGTTTCAGCACGAGGCTGGAGGTTGGAGAACAGGGGGGACTGCTGTCCACAGCAAGAAGAGCCGGGCGCCCAGCTCCAGGCAAGAGGCACAGGGCAGATCCTTCTGCCTTTCTGTGGGCAAGCTGGGGTTCGCCTGCACTGCCCGACAGCAGGTCTCCTCACTCGGCCCCACAGTTAAGTGCACTCTCTGGATGCACCCTCCAGACACACTCAGAATGATGCCTCACCAGCTGGGTGCCCCGAATCCAGCCAGGTCTTCCTGCGTGGCTGGATTTTGGGACCTCAGCTGTATTCTATTCTTGGTGTCTATCCGGTGTCAGTATCACATGGTATTGACTACTGTGGCTCTGTAGTTTATCTCGAAATCAGGAAGTATGAGTCTTCCAACTTTGTCCTTCTTGGGTTGGCTTCTTCCATTCTTGCAAGAAAGGCTGCTGGAATTTTGGTAGAGCCAAAGGTCTTTCATTGTTCAGAAATTTCACATTTTGGGGTTGGCGTTTGGGGCAGCTGTCTGGAACCCCCACATCCCGTATGGGTGCGCGTGAGTTCCAGCCTGGCAGCTCCCTGCTAACGCACACCCTCGGGAGGCAGAAGGTGAAGGCCCAAGTGCTTGGGTCCCTGCCACCCATGCAGAGACCCTGAGTTCCTGGCTCCTGGTTTCAGCCTGGCCCAGCCCTGGCTATTGTTGTCATTTGGGAAGTGAACCAGTCATTTGGAAGGTCTGTCTCTGTGCCTTTCAAGTAAAATGAAAAGAATTAAATGTTCCAAAAAAAGTTTCACATTTTGATGTAGTCAAATTTATCTAGCCTATGTACACCATGGTAACTATACTTGATAATGTACTGTAGACTTGAAATTTGCTGAAAGTAGATCTTAAATGTTCTCACTGCTGAAAAGAAGCTAGCTATACAAGGAAATGGATGTAAATTAGTCTGACCACGGTAATCACTCAAAATCAAGTTCATGTATATGAGAACATCATGTTGTACACCTTAAAAATATAGTTTTGGGAGTGGGTGTTGGTGGAGAGCCATGCCCCGTAGCAGAGAGCCTGTGTCTGCGTCTGGTTTGGGGTCCTGACTGCCGCTCCCTGTCAATGCAGATCCTGGGGGCAGCAGGTGCTGGCTCAAGTGGCGGGGTTCCTGCCACCCTGGGAGAGATCTGGATGGAGTTCCAGGCTCCTACCTTTGGCCTGGCCCAGCAATGGCTGTTGTGGGCATTTGGGGAGTAAAGCAGCAGATGGGAGCCTTCTCTCTGTCTCTCAAATAAATAAGTTAAAAAAAAAATACAGCCTGCAATGCACAAGCCCTGAGCTGCTTTGCTGGTGTTGTCAGGCCAGTCTAAAGGGAGTTCACTGTCACCAGCTGGCCCTAGGCCTCCAAGGGCACTGGGCCTATCTCCTGAGGATGACTTCTGGGGAATGTTATCCCCCACGTTCAACAGAGGTACACCTTCAACAGGCGGGACACGGTTAGAGTGCACAGACTCCGGGGATCCAGGCCCTGCTTGGAAGGGAACCCCGCAGGTCACCATATGGGTGATGGCTGTGGTGACAGTGGATGTGCGGGGCTAGAGAAGCCTTAACGCATCGCAAGGGCAGGGAAGTGTCACGTCCCGCAGGAGGTGTTGTGTGAACAGGAGGAGGTGACGGGAGGTGACGGGTGTTCCACACATCCGCTACAACAGCGACTGCGTCAGTCACAACGGTCCAGGACAATGACAAGTGGGAGGCTGAGCCTGGTTCAGTGTGGTGTCAGCAGTCTTGGGGTGTCACTGCGCTTTACTGCACACCAATTCCTGTGACCCGTGCCCATCACAATTCCAACAGATGTGTCACTTTCGGGACCCACAGCGCTCCCCAGCCCCCCACCCAATTTCTCTCCCATTTCCTGGGGTGGCCAAGTCTGCACTCACGCGCTGGGAGCTGGCCTGCTGGGCCTTTACACCCCATGCCCCAGGGGGAGGCTCCCCATCCCCTCCCCCACACTCCCTGCTCATTCCTCCCAGCAGCTTCCCTTTGCAGAGCGCTGGCCAGGTGGCTCGCAAGAGCAGGTGTTCCCACAATTCCCTGCCACCAAGACTCACTGTCAAGTGTACCCACAGACACATCTCCTCTCCCCCAGAGGTTGCCCAAGCCGAGTTACCCGTTGGGTCCTGAGTCAGGAGACCGGGCTGCCAGCCAGGCCACCCTGCCACCGCAGACCACCAACTCCTTCCTTCTTCTGAGCCAGGAGCAGATCAAAATCTTCTAAATCAACTGGGTCCCTAAATCTTGCTCCTCACATGGCCGATTCTGCAGGGAAATCTGTTGGGAGGTTTGCTTTTTGTTTTGAAATTATTTACTTGAGAGGCAGGGGGACGTGGGAGAAATTTCTCCCATTCACTGGTTCACTGCCCCAAAGCTCGCAACAGCCAGGGCTGGGTCAGTAGCCAGGAATACCATCCAGGTCTCCCTCGGGGTGACAGAGACCCGAGTACCAGAGCCGTCACCTGCAGCCTCCCGCAGTGCGCGTTAGCGGTAAACCGCATGGGAGGCGGGGCCGGGGACTAGAACTACTCGGCCGCCGCGCCGCCAGCCCGGCCCCGGAACCTCTGCGCGGTGCTTCCAGGGCCTCTCTCCCTCCCTCCGCTGCCTCCTACTTCAACCCCCACGAACCCGACTCCGACGCCATCATCTTCGGAAGTGGGGCCTCATCCTCGGTGCTCTCTTGTCCCGCTGTCACACCGTATAAGCCCGGCGTCTGTGGAGACCCGAGTCTGGGTGTGCAGCATATCCCGGGACCAGGCCGAGAGCGCAGCTCGGCTCGGAGGCGGCTTCTTTCGGCTTCACCGCGGGCGCGCGGGGGTTAAGGGACCTAGCCCTGGAGGCCCGCCTCCGGAGCGCGTCCACAGTCGTGGGGGAGGCCGCCCCGGCTCTGACCTACCCCCTTGCTTTCTTGTTACCCCTACAGCAATCGGAACTCTCGTTTAAGCAAACGTCTCGGGTGGGGCCCGAGGGTGCTGGCCTTGGGGCGGCCTCTGCCCCCGTCTGCGCTGAATTCCACCCCCCCGCCACAGGGCGCCCTTGGTACGGTCCGGGGATTCCCCCGCGCCGCCGGCCCCCGACGACTCGGAGTCCCCGCAAAGCCCCGCCCCGGCGCGGCGCGGTCTATCGGGCGGGTGCAGAGCGCCGAGGCGGCGGGGGATCGCGGCAATGGCCCGGGCTGGCCCCGCCGGCGCGCCCGCCGCCCGCTGGAAAGGCCACATTGTGCGGCAGCTGCGGCAGCGGGACCGCACGCAGAAGGCGTTCTTCCTGGAGCTGGTGCCCGCCTGTGAGTGCGTCTGCGACTTGGTCGACGGCCGTCGCGGGGAGGGGATCCGGGCTTGGGGAGAGGCTTTCTTGGGCCCCTGGGGCCGTGGAGCAGGTGCACTGGCGCCCCGGCGCCTTCTGGCCTCCGAGGCCCCCGTGCCAGGTGCTTCGAACCAGCCGGTCACGCCCACCTCCGACTGCCCTGTCCAGCCGCCTGCCGATCCCGCTGCCCTCCTGGCCTCTCAAGGCCCTCGAACTGGGCTTCTCAGACGGCCCGTTTTACCCGCGTGGCCCCGTGAAGGAAGGCGAGACTGACCCGGGCAGCCACTTGTTGGCCGATCCGGGAGGGAGCGCTGCCCCGAGTCTAACGAGGAAGCTCTGAATCACTCCCCAGAGGTGATGCTTTGGGAGCCTGAGAGAGCAGCACCGGGCCCCAGGCTGAAACAGGCTGGCCGGGCCCGGGCATGTCAGTCTGACGGAGCTGCTTCTGGTGTGTCGGGATGAACAGGTGTGGTTTCCTGAGGTCGCAGGGCCAAGGTTGAGAGAGTGGCCAGGAGCCCCACTGTGCGCTAATCTTGCCGGCTAGCCCACAATCTAATCTGCCATCTGCAAACTTCCAGGCGGCCTCAGTTCTCCACTGGCCATGCTCCACTGGCCATCCAGTCTGAGGCGGAAGCCCCCCCCCCACACACACACCCCCGCTTTGTGGCAGCTGCAGGCCTGAAGAACTCAAGACTCCCACAGACAGACCGAAGGCCCAGTCTTCTCTGTGGTCTTGGGCAGGGCATGTCCCTGAGCCTCAGGTTTCCGACCTGCACACTGGGCGCAGTGAAACTTTCTTTAGATCAGCGGGAGCCCTACTGCCACGTACCCTGGGTACTGAAGCCAGACCCAGGGACTTCCACAAGGCGACTGGTAGGGCACTGGGTGAGGGCAGGGACGAGGAGCCAGGCCTGGGCTAACCCTCCCCCCCCCCAACTGTCCTGGAACTGGTGAGAAAAGAGGAAGTGACCACCGGTGGGGGCGGAGGGGAGGTGTGTTCCAGGGTCAAACCACCAAACCTAAGAAGGGTTGCTGGATAATTGCTCAAGGACTTCCTATTCTGGACTGGTGGGGGCAGGAGGCAGTGGCTTACCCTCCCCCCTTGCCCCCCCGGAATTAAGGGTCACTCCTCATGCAAAGTTGGTGCCCTCGGAGGGGAAGTGACTTGCTGGCGGGGAAGGTGGGGCCTTTTGCCTGTCTCATCACTCTTAGGAGGAGAAGAGCCCCTCTGTGGGTCGCACCCCACCATGCCCGTCCCCAGCAGTGGTCATCCTGCCGCCCCCTGGCACAGCAGGTGCTCCTCTCCTGGGTGGGCCTGGGAGCCATGGCTGCGCACACACCCCTCGGGCGAGGGGCAGAGCTCAGCCTGCTGGTGACTTCCCGTTGCTAGGTGCCTGTCCCAGCAGTGTGACCTGTCAGCCGGCCGGGGTCTGCTGGGACGGATCTGGATCTGCCCGAGGCTCACTCTCTTGTGCCTCCAGATAACCGTCTCCTGGAGAAGGCCGAGCTGCTGGCCACGCTGTCTGAGAGGCTGCAGCCAGAACCAGGCGATGTCAGCCCCGCCGCGCCCCCGAGCCCCTGGTGAGTGAGTGAGTGAGTGAGCGAGCGTCTGTGGGCACAACAGCCTGCCTGTGCCTGGCCCTGCCCCCACTGCCTCAGCTGGGTTCATTCTCTCCTTGGCACCGCATTGGCCTCTGGCTGCTGCCCAGGAGTGGGGGTGGGGAGGTGGGGCCTTGAGCCTCCCCCCCCCCCCCCCGGGCCGGATGCCTAGACTCTCTTTCCCTCGCTGCTCCCAGTCCATTTCTCTGCGTTTGTCCCACCTCCTCAAGCCCTGGCTTTCCCCTTGTCAGTCCTTTCCCATCCCCGACCCTTATCTGACGCCTACAGAAAGGGCTGTGCTGCCTATTCTAGAGGGAGTGAACATGAGGACTGGGGAACAGGGACCGGGGACGGGAGTGGGTTGGGGCTCTGAGGTGGGCAGTGCATCCCTGTTGCCCATGCCTTTGTTGGCTGCTGGCATCCGTCCTCCGTGTGTGTGTGCGTGCAGCATCCCCAGGTGCCTCTGGGCACCGGGGTGAATGCAGGGACCAGGAGCACCACTCTCTGATTGGTTGGCAGGGAGGAGGAGTCAGGGCGTGGCTCAGAGCAGGCGCCAAGGCCAGCAGCTCTGAGGGAGAAGTGGCAGCAGGAGGAGGAGGAGCTCCGGCTGGTCTGTGGTGAGGTAAGTTGGGTAGGGGGTCTGGAAAGGGGGTGGGGAGACACGGTCCCAGGGAGCCAGCGAGCGGGAAGCACTCACCACGTTCACTGCACCCCAGGTCCTGTGCTGCAAGCACTGAGGTGAGGCCTGGGGCAGGTGAGTGGGGTGGCCGGCCGCCTGGCAGCCCCTCCCGCCCCCAGGCCCCTAGATGGCTGAGCCTGCTGGGCTTACTTGCACACCTCCCGCTTCTCTCCCTTGTCAGCCCACGCAGGGGCCTAGCACCAGGGACACTCTGTGAGGGAGGTTCCCGCACGGTCGCGGGGGTGGGGCCTCCACCTGACCTGTCTTCCTTCCTGCCCTGTCTTCCCTGCCCCTGCCCCGCGTCTCTTGGCTTCTGTTTCACCACTCACCTTGAACTTCCTCCCTGACTCCTCTCCTTTCCCCTACGCCTGTCCCTTGAAATGTAGGTGTCCTTGGGGCTTGGGGGGGCTCACTGCCTTCCGTGGCCTCCCATGGCCTCCCGTGGCCTCCCATGGCCTCCCGTGGGCTCAGGAGTTCCTGGATGACTCCCAGACCTGTCTCTAGCTCAGCTTCCTCTGCTGAGTTCCAGACTCTCTTGCTGAATGGGCTTTTTACATCCCATCCAAAATCACACCCATCTCCTACCCTAATAACACGGCCGCCCATGTTGAGAGTTGACTGCCTGCAGGCAGGGCTGAGCGTCGCCTCGGTCACTCCTCCAGGACTTCGCGGTTGCAGTCACCTGCGGCTCAGCGATCTGAACCCTCTCTAACACAAAGCCAGCTCTGCGGTCTCCCTGCTCTCAACAGATCCTTGTATGTAGGGACAGCTGCTGCATCCAACCAGCAGGGGACGCCACAGTTAGCAGTGCCTGGCTCCATGGGGTTCCCAGTCCACTGCAGAATGTGAGAGGCCAGTAAATCCATGTCAGTTAACAGCATGGCAAGTGGTTTGCCCAACAGAGAGGGGCCAGAGCAGGAGGGCAGGCCTGTAGACGCCGGTTAGGACGTCTGCGTCCCACACTGCCGTTACCTGGGCTCAGTAACCGGCGCCGGCTCCTGACTCCAGCTTCCTGCTAACGCAGACCCTGGGAGGCAGCAGCGACAGCTCCAGTAATTGGGTTCCTGCCACCCATGAGGGAGACACAGATTGAATGTCCAGTTCTTGAGTTTGTTCATGGCACTGCCACAGCTGTTAAAGCCATTTGGGGAGTGTGTCTCTCCCTCTCTCTCTGCATCTCAGATCAATTCAAATTTAAACAAGGAGGCGGGCCTTGTGGTGCAGTGAGATAAGCTGCCCTGCCATGCCAGCACCCTGCATCAGAGCGCTGGGCCGAGTCCTGGCTGCTGCACTTCCCATCCAGCTCCCTGCCCGTGTGCCAGGGAGGGCAGGAGAGGGCGGCCCGGCTACTTGGGCCCCTGTCACCCACATGGAAGACCCAGATGGAGCTCCGGGCTCCTGGCTTCGGCAAGGACCAGCCCTGGCTGTTGCAGCCATTTGGAGAGTGGACCAGCAGTTGGAAAATATCTTTTCTCCCTCTGCCTTTCAAATACATAAAATAAATCTTAGGGAAAAAAAAGAAAAAGTGTGGGAATGGGGCCGTGGGCAGAGCTGCGAGCCTCTCTCAGGTCAGAGCTGCTGCTGTGGTTGCGGGCTCGTGTGTCTCAGACAGCTGAGCCGTGAGCCCCCGAGTGCTCTCCGGCTGCCTCCACCGTATCGCTCGGGCCTGTCTGCACGGCGCCTATGACCAGAGCTGATTGAGCACACCGGCCCTTCCATGGATACCCCATTGGTTTCCCTAGGGCTGGAACCCCAGGCGCCACTCTGGCCCCTGGCCACTCTCCACCCAGAGCGAGCCACCAGCTCACGATGATCTGTCTCCAGCTGCTGTGTCTGCCTGGCACAACTCAGCCTCATCCCCGCTCTGGCACCGCCACCACCCTCCCGCAGCACTCAGTGATGCCTTTTAAGAAGATTTATTTATTTATTTATTGAGAGAGTCTCAGAGGGAGACAGAGGTCTTCCACCCGCTAATTCATTCCCCATATGGCTCCAATGGCCAGCATTGGGCCAGGCCAAAGCCAGGAACCAGGAACTTCCTTTGCGTCTCCCACATGGGTGATAGAGACCCAGGGACGTGGGCCATTTCCCGCTGCTTCCCCAGGTGCATTAGCAGGGAGCTGGATGGGAAGTGGAGCAGCTGGGCCTGGACCGGGCACCCATATGGGATGCCAACATGACAGGTGCCGCCTCACCCACCATGCCGGTCCCGTAAAGTGATAACAGAAGTGACCTCCAGTAAAGACAAGTAACATACAAACCACGCTACTGTAAACAACTCCGAGAAGCCTGGAGAGTGAGGAGGTGCAAGTCCTTGTCACCACCACTGCCTGGCTCCCAGGCGTCATCCCACCTCCTGCTTCTCTCAGCTGAGGCGCCCTCCGCCTGGGCTACGTCCACGTCCACGCACCCCTTACTCTCAGCACTCCACCCCGGATCCCACCCGCCAGTTCCCATTGGCTAGGCCAGGGGATAGGCGATGAGTGGCTTTTCTTTGGTTCTCAGTCCTGTTTTGCATACCGGAAGCATGTGCTGTTATGTTGACTTTTCATTTTGAAATAGATTCGTAGGAGGTTGCAGCAGTAGTACAGAGCTCCCGCCGGCCGGCCGTACCCTCTGCAGCTGCGTACACAGCCAGGGACTCCATAGTGGCAGGAAGTGTGCGCACAAGCGTGCTTCACAAGTTCGCAGAGGGGCCAGCCTTGCAGTGCAGCAGGTCAAGCGGCTGCCTGCGAGACGCTGGCGTCCCAACTGGAGTGCCAGTTAGTCCCACTGTGGCTGTCAGGGGCTCAAACCACGGACGGGAGGTTTGTCTCTCCCTGGCCATTCCTCTTTCAAATAAATGTATATGTTTTAAAAGTTCATGGAAAGTAGAATTAAGTTTATGGTGTAAAAAGATTTATTTATTTGAAAGGTAGAGACACAGAGAGATATCTGTTGTCTACTGGTTCACTCCCTAAATGGCTAAAACCGCTGGGTCTAGGCCAGGCCAAAACCAGGAGCCAGGAACTCCGTTCAGCTCTCCCACATAGTGGCAGGGGCCCAAGTTCTTGGGCCATCCTCGGCTGCCTTCCCAGGCACAGCAGGAGGAAGCTGGATTGGAAATGGAGCAAGGGGGACTCAACCGGGCACCCCAACGTGGGCTGCTGGCATCGTGAGGCGCAGCTTCATCCTCTGCCACATCGCCGGCCCCAGGGCCAAGATAATTGCTTTTGAAATCTGTGCATGTGAGGGCTCTTCAAAGATTTCATGAAAACCACGTATCATAAAAGGTGCGTGGCTATCAAACTATTTTTGAACCAAAATAAACTTCATTCTCCACGAACTTTTTGAAGTTCCCTATTACAGTTTTTGTCACTTTATCACGTGCAGACTGTGTGACCATCAAGGTACAGCAGTCTCTCACCACTACGCCGGTCTTCCTCTCGCTGCCTCCCCCTTAACATCTGCTGACTGACTTCGGAGACACAGAGCTCTTGCATTTACACGTTCACTCCCCAAATGCCCTCAACAGCCAGGGCTGGGCCAGGCTGAAGCAGAGCCGGGAGCTCCACCTGGGAGTCCCACAGCCTCCCAGGGTGTGCCTCAGCAGGAAGCCGGAGTGCCGCGGAGCCAGCCCCTGAGCCCAGGCCGTGCAGTGCGGGATGCGCGCGTCCCGGGTGGCGCTGTGACAGCTGCACTGCACCCTGCCCCTCTCCCTCAGCCACCCAGAGCCCCTAGCGGTCACAGATCTGTTTTCCAGCTCTGTTACTTGGTTTGAAAAGCATTACATTAAAAAAGAGTGGATGTAGATCTAGATCTAATGCAACATGAAGGCAAGCAAGTGCGAGGAAGTGGCCGGCGGCTGTCCGATGCCTCAGTGGTAACAAGAATCAGGAGTGCTGGAAACGGGGCGGCTGTGGAGTGTCCCCCACGCGGCAGTCTCAGCCCTGCTCCTCCGTGGGTCCTCAGCAGGCCCCGCCCCTGTGAGGGAGGAAGCAGGTCGACGGGGCCACCAGAGTCCCCAACTTCCACGGCTCTTTCCTGGGCCAGAGGCACTTGGAGCCTGTGGCGTTCAGGTTCCCCTGGCCTCGCTGGGGTCTGCCACTCCACTGGGCGCTCAGCACCGACAGGTGGGGCCTCGGCCTCCCCGGCTCTCAGCCATGGCTTCAACGTGCAGCGAGGCAGGGGTACCGATGCGGTGACCCCCTCTCCCCAGGGCTGTGGAGCAGCGCCTGTGTCCCCCGGGGCCCTGTGCTCCCCATCCGTCTCTCTTCCCAGCCTTGTGTGCCTCCACTCAGGGCTCCCTGCTGCGCAGGCCAGGGGCTGGGGGTGGCCCCGCAGCTGTGGGAGAGGCGGGAACCAGGCCCCGAACCCCGGAGCCACTCCTGCCCGTGGTGCTTTCCTTGGAGCACAATGCAGTGAGCGGCCTGGTCAGTTAGCCCTGCGGCTCTGGGCAAGACACCTCCCCTGTCACGGGCTCACTGTAAACGTGACATAGAGGTGTTGCTGTGGGGTGCCCAGAACAAGGCTGCACGTGCTGCGCAAACTGTAAAGGCTGTTTGGAACAGCACTGACTGCTCCTAATGGTTGTGCCTCACACAGCAGGCGCTGGCATTCCCCCTTCACAGGTGAGCCAAGGAGCAGCTTCCTCTTCCCAGGGAGGTTAGAGGACTCCCCCGGGGTCAGACCCCGATACTAAGCCTTTCCCTGTCACATGAAACAGCAGGGCAACCCGGGCAAGATCTGAAAGCTAGCAGAGCCGTGGCTTTCTCGGCGGCCCCAGCACCGGGGCGGGGGCGCGGGGTAGCTGACCTGTCCCAGGAGGCCGAGAGGGGCTGGAAGTCGGTGTGAGCTCCACGGTGGCGCCCCCGCCCACCTATCTGGCCCCTCCACCGCCCCTAGATGGCCTACCAGGTGGTGGAGAAGAGCGCAGCCCTGGGCACCCTGGAGGCGGAGCTGGAGGAGCGGCAAAGCAGGTGCGGCGCAGGCCAGTGTGAGAGGCACCGCGCGACCCTGGGACGCCCGGAGCCCTCTCTGCGGGAGGCGGGGCGCGGGGGATGGCACAGGCCCGAGAGCCTTCCCCTGGTCCCAGGACGGGCCTGTGGTTGGCGGCAGAGGACTCGGACCGCGGTGCTCCGAGGGCGAACGAACGCTTGGAGACCTGGCTTAGGCCCTGGCTGGCGGCGTGGCCGTGGGCGGGTTGCCTCCGGGCGGTGACAGAGGCGACTCGGGACCCAGCGCCCGCTCTCCGCACCCTGCAGGCTGGCGGCCCTGGAGGCCCGCGTGGCGCAATTGCAGGAGGCGCGGGCGCAGAAGGAAGCGCAAGTGGAAGATCAGCGCGCACGAAACGCAGCGCAGCGGGCGGCTTACGAGGAGCTGCGCGCGCACGCCGGGCTCCAGGAGGTGGCGCTGCGCAGGCTCCAGGAGGAGGCGCGCGACCTGCTGGAGCGGCTTGTGCAGCGCAAGGCGCGCGCCGCCGCCGAGCGCAACCTGCGCAATGAGCGGCGAGAGCGGTGAGGAGCTGGCCCCGCCCCCTGTGGGGAGGAGGGGGGCCGCGCCCCACTATGGGAGGCGCGGCGTCAGGCTCCCGACGCCCTTCCAGGGCCAACCAGGCGCGGGTGTCGCAGGAGCTGAAGAAGGCTGCCAAGCGAGCTGTGAGCATCAGCGAGTAAGAGTGGGGACGGCCCGGGTCTGGGCTGTGGAGTCTGCCCGCCGCCCCTGGGTCACGCCGGCACGTGGCGACAGGTGCACCTGAGGGGACATGCGCCGCGGTGGCCCCGAGCCCCCTCGTGTGCGCGGGAGGTGCCGAGGTGTGTGCTGTTGGGAGGTGGCCCCCACCAGGACCCCTCACCGCCGGGGGGATTCACACGGTCCCCGCCATCAGGCGCTGGGGCTCGGAGGGGCTGGCCCGGTCCCTTTGTCTTTCCGAACTTCATTCCTTCTCCAGGAGCCCACCCCCACGAGATGTGATCAGGGAGGGGACTGAGACTGTGGCCCTGGCCTCGGGACCCGAGTCCCTGGAGAGCGAGGCTTGTGAGAAGTGGAAGAGGCCCTTCAGGTGAGAACCTGGTGCTCAGAGCTCGGCCCTGGCCCCGGCCCCGGCCCCGCCCCCGCCCCCGCCCTCGCCCTGGAGGCTGCCAATCTTTCGCTGCCACCTCGGGGTCAGCCCTTGGCCTTGGAGCGGTGGGGTCCAGCTGAGACCCCTGGGGACTGGTCTGATGTCCAGTGCCTGCAGCAGCTTGCGCTCAGTGCCACTTCAGGGACCCCGACTTCTGTCCTCCCCCTACCGCTCCTTCCTGGGACCCCATCTCTGGGGGTGTGGTGGTGTCAGGTGGAGTCTGGGGGCAGGCCCAGGGCTCAGCTGTGGCAGGCCGGCCTGTGTGGGCAGTGTGCACACGCAGAGCGGGAGGCATGGGTGAGCTTCCCTGAGCGTCTGGACCTCTGAGCTTGTGGAGATGTGTGCCCACCCTGGCGGGCCTGGCGGGGCTTCGGTCCTTGGGCTGCCACTGGTGCTGCCTGCTCTGCCCCGCCCCCCGGGGTGAAGGCTCCTCTCTGTGTTCCCTTGCAGCTGCCCAGTGTCCCGGCCTCAGGGAGCACAGGGACCTTGGGGAAGTGAGATGCTGGTGGCCGAAGTCCTTGGCAGCTCGGGGGTGGGGGCGAGGGGCAGGTGACTCCCAGGACCACCGAGCAGGCCGGGGCTTCCCCGCTCCCCTCCTTTCCTCCTGTGTTCTCCCAGCCGGGACCATCTTTGCCCCCCACCCCACCCCCACCCCCCAGGCCCCAGCTCAGCCTCCCCGGAGCTTTCCTCAGTGGGTGCTTGGGGTTGCAGTGCGAGTCTCCCACGTGCCTGCCTCTTCCCGGCTCCGGCCTCGGTCCCAGCTCTCCTGGGCCTCCAGGAGCTGAGTTCTTGTTTCAGGCCCGGGAGGGTAGGCGCCGCAGGGCTGCAGGGTGCCCACCACGGTCCCTCAGCACGCCTCTTGGTTCCGCCCCAGGTCTGCCTCAGCCACCTCCCTGACGCTGTCCCGCTGTGTGGATGTGGTGAAAGGGCTTCTGGAGTAAGTGTGTGCGCGCCTGTGTGTGCACCCGCATGGGTGCGAGGGGCGAGTCCCCAGCAGCCCTGGTCAGGCGCCCAGAGCCCGTGTCCGTGCTTCAGCCTGTCTGTGTGTGAGTGGTCTGGGCCCCAGGGGCAGCCGCCAGACATGTCGCCTCCTCCACAACCCCTGCCTGCGTCTTCCAGGCTCGGATCATCACAGTCCTCGAGGGGACAAGAGCTCCCGCCCGAGGCCAGGCAGGAAATGTCAGGGCTTCACTGAGTCACAGAGCCGGGACTGCGGTCACAGAGCCGGGACTGTGGTCTCGGCCCCGCGATGACTGCACGTGGCGGCCCTGCCCCGCGGCCCCACGCTGCTCTCTGCTGGCCCCCCGCCGGGGCTGGGTTGGGGACCGTGCTCTCTGTCCCTGCGGCCTCGCTTTGCCACCTGCCTGTCTGCTTCCCGTCGTCGTGCCTCGGGGGAGCTGGAGGCTTGCAGGACAGGAAGCCTTGCTGAGTGCCCTCCTGCACCCCCGCCCCCCAGTTTCAAGAAGAGGAGAGGCCACTCGGTTGGCGGAGCGCCCGAGCAGCGGTACCACAGCATCCCCGTGTGTGTGGCCGCTCGAGTTCCTACCTGGGCTCAGGATGCGCTGGTAGAGCTGGGGAGTGGGAGCCCCAGCGGGAGTCCAGGCCCTGGGGTGGCCTGAGGGGGCGGGGCCAGGCTGGGCCAGCGCAGCTGGGGTGGGATTTGGCCTTCAGCCTCTAGTGGTCCAGCACTTGAGGCCCAGGGAGGGCAAGCCAAGGCGGGGCGGGGCTCAGGCAGAGGAGCCTGGGGCGGAGGGGCAGGTCAGCAATGGGCTGCACAAAAGGCACCCAGGGGACCAGGGGCACCAACACCCACTTCTCCCCACAGGACGCCCACCTGTCTGAGGTCAACGCTGTGTGTTTTGGCCCCAACAGCAGCCTCCTGGCCACCGGAGGGGCGGACCACCTTATCCACCTGTGGAATGTTGTGGGAGGTAAGGGTTCCGGCACCACGGGCCATCCCAAAGCCGTCCCTGCACACCCCGCAGGGGCGGCGCGCCTGGCAGTGGCTCCATGACAACCCCATGGCAGGAGGGAGGCTCTGGGCTTGGTGCCCTGAGCAAGGTGGAGCCTCACCCAGGACACGGGCTGCGGAGCCCAGATGGCCCTGCTGGGGGAGGCGGCCCCCATCCTGAGGTCTCTGAGGAGCAGATGCTGGCTTCCCCAGGTGACCTCTTTGGGCCAAACTCAGTGCCTTGGAACTCAGCAAGCAGACGGGGGCGGGGCGGGGCGGGGCAGGGCGACCGTCTCCCTCGGCCCAGCTGTTCTGCAGAGCGGATGTGCTGAGGAGTCAGGGCCAGCTCCTGGAGAGTCCCGCCAAGAGGCAGGTCACCGGCTCCTGGCCCAGCTTGCTGTGCGACCCAGGGACAGCCCCTCCTCTCTGGTCCCCTCCAGCCCGCGGACCCCTGCTGGCAGTGAGGAGAGGTGCAGCCCGGGCTCCAGAAGCAAAGCAACCCAGTGACCTTGACCTGTCCGCCGCAGACCCGGGACTTCTCGCGATGAGGGCGACCTGGTTTCACTTGTCCCTTCTGCTCCCCACTAGGTCGCCTGGAGGCCAACCAGACCCTGGAGGGAGCTGGCAGTATCACCAGTGTGGACTTCGACCCCTCGGTGAGGGGACGTGGGGGCTCTGGGGCCCGAGGGTGCATCCTGGGTGTCTTCCGACTCCCACACGGCTTCCCCTCGCTGCACCTGCGGCTGCCCTGCCTGCGTGGCAAGCCGCTCTCCGGCCTGAGGGACACTGCCTGCAGCCTGGCCCAGGCTCAGGGCCTCCCCTTCTACTCCCGGCTCCCCAGGGCTCCCAGGTTTTGGCAGCAACTTACAACCAGGCTGCTCAGCTCTGGAAGGTGGGGGAGGCGCAATCCAAGGTGAGGCCTGGCTGGGAGGCAGCCTGGGGGTCCAGGGTCAGGTCTTGGGACTGGGGGAGTGCCTATGGAGTGGTGGCCGTGTCTTTGACCCCTACCTGGGGTGGGACAGGAGACGCTGTCTGGACACAAGGACAAGGTCACAGCTGCCAAGTTCAAGCTGACAAGACACCAGGCAGTGACCGGGAGCCGAGACCGGACGGTGAAGGAATGGGACCTCGGCCGCGCCTACTGTGAGGCCCAGCTCTGCCCCCCTTACCCCCCGCCCCGCCCCATAGGCAGGACCCCAGGCTGCTCTCTGCTCTGCAGGCACCTAGGGTGAAGCCCCAAGGCCCCTTCCATCCCCCCAAGTGCTTTCTGCCTGGGCTCTCGGTGGGCTCAGGCTGTGCACGGGTGGAGAAGACAGGGAGCGAGCCCAGGCTGGGAAGCTAGGGGCCTGGGCTCTGGGCTTAGGAGTTGGCTCCCAGCAGCCCTCCCCTGAGGCCCCGGCCTCTGCCCTCGCTTCCCAGGCGCCAGGACCATCAATGTCCTTTCCTACTGTAACGACGTGGTGTGTGGAGACCACATCATCATTAGTGGCCACAACGACCAGAAGATCCGCTTCTGGGACAGCAGGTGATGGGCGCGGGCTGTGGGGCTGGGGGTGGATCCTGGAACAGGACTCCCAGGTTCTCAATCCTTCCCCTCACCGTGGTGGTAGGGCTGCATGGGTCACAGTGACCTAGGGAGGCTGTTGTGGCTCTCAGCCCAACATTTCCCTCTGCCTGGGTCTTGCAACCAGGATGGAGAAGCACCTTTTCCTACGTAGGTACTACTTTTTAATCAAAAGGGGAAACATTTTTTAAGTTTTCTTCAACCTCAGAGCCCAGGGTTGGACTTGAACTGTTTTGGAAAGCAGAGCTAGAGCCAGTACTGGGCCTGCCTCAGGCTTTGCTTACTGGCCAGCAGACTGCCACTTCTGTCTGAAGCCGCCCTTCCCCTCTTCACATGTGTTAATGTGAAAGGCAGAGTGACGAGAGAGGGAGAGACAGGGAAAGCAGGATGTCTTCCACCCACTGGGTCACTCCCAGATGGCAACAATTGTCCCGAGCCAGGAACCCCACCCAGGTCTCCCGTGTGTGGGCAGGGACTCGAGTACTTGAGCCAGCAGCTGTTGCCTCGCAGGCGCATTAGCAGGGAGCTGAGTGGAAGCGGAGCAGCCAGGACCTGGACCGTGCTCGCTGTGGGATGCGGGCATCTTCATTGCTTGTGCTCTGGCCTTATTTCAGCGACGCAGAGGTTTCAAGGGCTCAGGTCTTTCATGGAGGGAGCTGGCTGTGCTAGGGACAAGGGAGACTGACCGTTGGCCTTGACCCTGAGATGCCTCTGGACTTGGCTGGCTGGGAAAGCTACTGCGCGCCACCCCTACCTGTCAGGTGTGGCCTGGGAAGAGGCCGTTGCTCATCTGTGTTTCTGTCCTTGCTTCTCAGGGGGCCCCGCTGCACGCAGATCATCCCCGTGCAGGACCGGGTCACCTCCCTGAGCCTCAGCCATGACCAGCTGCATCTGCTCAGCTGTTCCCGCGACGACACACTCAAGGTCATCGACCTGCGGGCCAGCAATGTCCGCCAGGTGTTCAGGTACCTGCCTCGCGCCTGCTGGCCCTGCGGCCTCTGCTCTCCCCAGGTCCCCTCTCGGCAGCTGCCTCCCTCCTGACCTGAGCCTGTCTCTGCAGGGCCGAGGGCTTCAAGTGCGGCTCCGACTGGACCAAAGCCGTGTTCAGGTGTGTGTGAGGGCGAGCCGGGGCCCGGGTGTGCCCGGCTGGCCCCGTGCGAGTGCTCCCGCTGATCCCCTTCCTCTTGCTGTGCGCTGGTCACTGCAGCCCCGACAGGAGCTACGCGCTGGCAGGCTCCTGGGATGGAGCTCTGTACATCTGGGATGTGGACACTGGGAGACTGGAGAGTCGCCTTCGAGGACCCCACGGGTAAGCATGGCCTCCACCTGCCTCTGGCCCTGGTCCTGCTGTGTCCCCACACTGCCCCCACCAGAGCCCGCTCGCTTACAAGGTGCCTTTCCACACGCCCTCGGGCTCATCTGCACAGCCCCATGAGCCCATTTTACGGATGAGGGGCCGAGCTGATGGAGGAGCGCTGGGCTGCCCAGGGCCAAGAGGGAGGGGTGCAGCTGGGGGCCCGGCTCCTAAAAGCCCCCTGATGCCTGTCCCTCACTCTCCTCAGTGCTGCTGTTAATGCCGTGGCCTGGTGCTACTCTGGGAGCCATGTGGTGAGCGTGGACCAGGGCAGGAAGGTGGTGCTCTGGCACTAGGGCACCACTCCCCCTGCCTGGGCGGGAGCTCTGGTGCGAAGCCCAAAGCCGAGAACGCTTCCCTCTGCTCCAGGTCCAGCGGTAGCGCTGGAGGCCTGACGTCAGTGCAGAAGGAGGCCTGGCGGGTCCTGGCCTGTTTGTTTAAAATCGGGTGGGTTGGGAGGATTTTTAAAAAACTCTTAGTCTCCCAAAAGTGGGGAAAAAAAAAAAAAAAAAAAAAAAGCAAAGCACCTGAACTGTGTCTGCTGCATCTTTGTATCATGAAGGGCAGAGAGGCCGCTGGGCTCAGGGCACTCAGGCCTGGCACGTTTCCTCCTGCAGAGCCGCCCAGCCGTGGCAACAGCGTGGCAAGGGCCCAGGGGCAGCAAAGAGCAGGCCTCCTGGAACCAGGGGCACACGAGCCTGGGTGCAGCTGGGGCCCATGGGCATTCCTGCTCTGACACCCAGGGTAGACTCAGGCCAAGAAGCAAGCATGGACACAGCCCGCCTGGAGGGGTCTTCGTGGAAAAGGTGCTAAGACACCAGAATGAGTTCACTGACTCCTCCAGCCCGGCTGTCCCTCGAGCTCCGCCCCACAAACCCTGCCTCCGCCTGGCTGCCATCCCTGCTGTGGCCCCTTCCCCCACAACACCAGAGCTACAGCCACCTCCCAGCCTGTCCTCCTGGCACGGCAGAGTGACCTTCTCAGGTGTCACGGTCTCGTCCAGCTCCTTGGAGGTCCCCAGCTTCCCGCCTGGAGGGGCGGTGTGGCTGGAAGGGGCAACCCCCCCACCCCCCCCTTGGTTTTCCCCCCTTCCTTTTGCTTCAGCGGGCCCCGCAGGGACCTCCCCCAGAAGGCGGCTTTGTGCAGGCCTTCCCCGGGCCCCCCTTTTTTTTTTGGCCCCCCCCCCCCCCCCCCCCGCCCCGTGCTGACTCAGGGAGCTCTGGAGAGGCCAGGATGGAAGTGAGAGTCTCAGGAAATGCTGGTTAAGTGGTTAAATGCCTTTGTTCAAGGACCCTAGGGGTTCAACACTGCTCCACTCCAAGATTTCTTCCACCAGACCCCTTCCCTCCTGCCTGGCTCCCAGTGGCCACCAGGGGTCACCAGCAGCCTGGAAGAACACTTGGACGGTTGTGACGTAGGTGTCCTCTGTCTCAGGGGACAATGGCTCTGAGGCTGAGACTGAGCATCACACAGCTACTGTCATGCTGGGTTGAGCTAACCCCCACCCGCCCGCACACACTAATGGCAGAAGGCAGAATTTGGCCTCCCCTGCCTGCCACCACGGGGCTGCGGGGGTGGGGGGAGGGAGCAGATGTGATTCTGGCTTTGTGTCTAAGCCAACGCTACTCTGTGTCTATCTCTTCCATTCTGGCCCCTGGACCTGGAGGGTGAGTGTCCCCCAAAGTGAGGGACCAGGAGAGAGAGGGATCCTGGGAGGTGGCTGTCAGCTCTGCCTAGGTGACCCGGGGACCGGCAGAGGTGCTTGGGAAGTGGGCTGACTCTGTCGCAGGGCAGTGACCACACGTGCTGGGGGCCGCCTCACTTCAGGGGGCACAGGCTCACTGGAACTTGCTCCGAGGCACCCCTCCTGGCAGGAGTGAATGCTTCCTGGAGGGCAAGGGGAGGCGGGGGTGCAGAGGGCAGGACTAGCACCCTCCAGGCCGCCAGTGTTGAGTGCTCAGGTTTCGGCATTCCCTACTTGGGCCTGAGTCTCAGTGGTAAAACTAGAATGACCTGCACAGGGTCACAGCAGGGCTGGCACGAGCATCCAGGCCTCCGGCTCGGTGGCAAAAACTGGATTGAGGTGCTGTAGAGAGGGACTGGCTGCTCTCTGCAAGCCCAGTTCCATCTTCTGGGAGACCCTGGGCAGGTCACCAGCTTCCAGGGTCTCGTGTCCCCGTCCCTGAAACTGCCGCGGCCACACAACATAGTCTCATAGTCTGTGAGCAGGGTTGCCTCTGCCTGCCCCGCCCAGCCTCAGGCCTGAAACCTCCAGGAGGGAGAGGCGGGAGAGGCCCCCGTGGCGGGCTAATGCCCTGGGGTCACTTCCCCGTCCTGGGAGGGGCCCCTTGGCTTGAGTCTGTCATTCCTGAGTGCCCCCCCCACCAGATTGGACCCCCCCTGGGGACAGAGACGGGGTCTACAGTGTGCAGGACACAGCCTGGGGCAGGAAGCTAGGCTGCTGAACGGCCTGCAGAAGTCCTGGCAGTGCCGGGTGTGGACCCGTCTGTGAGGGTCAGTGTCACTCACACCAAGCCTTGTACGGGCTGTTTCCATGTCCAGGGTCCAAGGTAAGCTCAGCTGCTCTGCACGCTTACCACATGGGACCTCAGGAAGTCTCTCCTCACCCTCGCTGTCCAGGTGGGGAAGGCGAGGCCCAGCCGGCTGAAGGGGTGAGCCTCCGGCCACGGCACACTCGAGGCAGCTCTGGGACTTGAGTCCAGCTCTTTCTGCCAAGCTCCCCTCCCCCCCGCCCTGGGCCTTGCACGAGCAAGCAGTGCGGTGTGCTTGGTCCTCAGTGTGCAGGGGCGTGAACCCTGCTCAGCAGTTACTGGTGTTATGTTGTAAGGTAAGACATTTCAGGAGAAAATCCCAGACCAGCGCCTGCAGGAACGACGTGGGAGCAGCCCCGCGTGTGTTGCTTTTGGTCACTGGGACCAAGGGAAAAACAGCCCAGGAACACGATGCTCTTGGCAGATCAAGTAGTCACAAAGCAAACGCTGAGGAACCTGGAGGACACTTAGCTCGTGTGTCGAGTGGTAGAGTTCCGGGACACAGTACAGTTCCCATTCTTTGTCATTTGGTTGTGTTTCTGTCATCAACAACTTCCTAACAGACAAAATGAACGCAAAGATTCAGAGCAGCCAGATTTTGTCACAGGGCCGCATGGAGGGAGCTGGACAGGAACTAGGCCCCGAGCCAGAAGCGTGGCTGGGTTCCTTGGGCAGTGAGTGAGCAGTGCAGCCCAGGGGTAGCCACGGGCCGGAGGATGCGGGCTCGCTTTGTCTCGGTGCAGGAGTCCAGTGCCTTGATGGGTCACCTTCCGTCATCCCAGCAAGTCCGTATTAGCCGGTCTTGGCGCCAGCACTGTGACCTTTCCGTCTCACTCTGCATCTCGAGACCAAACCACTGAGACCAGCAGAGCTGCGGGAGCACTGCCCCGGAAGCCACCGCCCTCTGTTCCTTTCCAAGTTGAGGTCGTGGCAGCTCGGAAGGAAGGGCGGGACACCAAGCCGCGGGAGGCCCAAGGCCCAGTGATGTTCTCCGCCTGGGCTCTGGCTGGCCTGCGGGTGTGCCGTGGGCTGGGGTGGGGTCGGAGAGGAAGGGAACCAGCCCTGTGCGGTGAATCCCTGGCTTGACTGAAGCCCAGTCAGTTCCTGAGACGAAGGAGCCAACACTGGATTCTGACACTGCGGTGGGGCCGTTGACTGAACTCTGTCCCTGGTCACAGACCAAGTCTCCAGTGCCAGCGGCGGTCTGTGACCAGCAGCTCGCACGGGCAGGGGAGCAGGAGAGTGCCGTCTCCTGTGTCTCACGGCCCTTGCCAGGTGTACGGAAAAGCACTTCACACATTCCTTCCGCGGGAACGCACGCTGCCTGTGGCTGCAGCACGGTCACGGGTCCCAGTGCCCAAAGTGGGGAGCGTTCGTGCTACCCACTGTCTGTCCTTGCGGGGGCCACGGCATTATCCACAGGCTCCAGACGCTGGCATGGGCTGGGCCAGGACTTAACCCAGACCTTCTGCCTTCTTGAGTCCCTGCGGGCATCTCCGGTGTTGCGCTGGGAGTGCAAACAGCTACAATCCTTTCAGAGGCCCTTTGGCAAATTCTAACAAAATTAGATACACACATTTTTGACTCTCAAGTTTCATATTTAGGAATCTGCCCAATTACTGGAACAAATTTACAAAGCTGCATGTACAAAGATGTTAATTTCAATTTTTCTAATAGCAGATGGCTTCAAACAACCTGAACACTCATCACAAAAGGGATGTTTAAATGATGATATATCCAAGCAAGTGAATATAAGACAGTCGAAAAAACAAGTGACAGTAGTCCCTCTTCGGTGAATAAGCAATGTGTACACGAGTGAGTTTTACTCGCAGAAGAATGTCTGGAATGCACACTGCCCGGCACCAGCTCTGCAGAGGAGGGCTGAGCCGGTCCTCAGCGTGGCTGGCTGGAAGCCAGAGGGATTTAGCCTTTAACCAGGAGTCTCTGTCCACTCCTGCGACACTAGTAAGATCTCCCCCGACACAATCACTACTTCTCAGTGAGGGTTAGGAAAGGGGCAAAGAGTTCAGGATGCCCCCTCCTGGAAGCCAGCAGTCCTGGCCTCCAGGGCGACGGCAGGGACCCTCCTGTGCCGCTCGCTGCTCGCCGCTCGCCAGCATGCTCTAGGCCCCTCCCGTCCAGCACAGGCCACAGGTCCTCACAGACCTGCCTGTTGTCTCCATGGAGGAAGAACCTTGAGAGCAGAGGTCATAACTTAGCCATGTCCGTCTCTAGTCCCCAGGGCGTTAGACTTGGTGCGTGGGTGCCATCAGGGACTGCATCCCATGGACGGATCAGTTTACTTCCTGCTCTCTTCATCTGTTAAGGGGTTCAAGGAAGGCCCACAAGTGTTTTAAGAAGCATGGTCTTTCTGGAAAAGCCTTGTTTACCTGAATCTTTTTATAAGGAAACATAGAAAACATAATTGCATGTTTTTATTATTCAACATTTTATACATAATAAATACAAACTTTTTACAGCCCCGGGGAGAAAGCGCACCTGCAGAGGCCCCCCCCGAGCCTCGCCGTGCTCTGTGACGCTGGGTACACGTCCTGGAGGGAGGGGGTGCTTTTGAAAAAGGAGGCATATTTTTACAACTTTGTGTTTTAAAATAAAATTAGCAGCTCTTCCAGAAAATATTTTAAAATATAACAAAAGGTTTCAAATACCCCTCTGAGGTTGTGGAAAACCCAAATTCAAGGACAATTTGGCTGCTACAGGGAGAATGCAAGGCCTGGTGGCAAGCACTGCTGTTTAGTGAGCACATGTCGGCAAACTTGAAAATCTCAAAAACCACCCCGTAATTTCTTTTTTAAACTTAAGAATAAGTTTGATAAACACAAAAAGACCTCAAATAGATCAACAGATTAAGAAATGAAAAAAAAAAAAAACAAAACCAAAAAACCCACCAACATCATGGAGAAGATTCATCAATGGGTATTATCACCGAAGTGCTCACGTGACTAACAGCGTTTCTTCAGTGTTGACCTTACTCTTGGTCAGAAATCCCATGGGGACATTTGGCGAGCATTTCAAGTTTTTAGAGATTCTTAGGAGGGACGGAGTTTTCAAAGCTTAACACAATTTTGGGTTAAATTCCGCAAATCTGATTTCTTAACCAAATAAACAAAAAGCAGCGGGTGAACACCTTGTAGTCCACAGACACCTCACTCCCTGCTTCCACGGGAGTGGGCGCCAGGGTCCTGGTCTGCAGCAGGCCCACTGGGCCGCGGTGCGCACCACCCTGGGCTCTCCCCGCTACGTGGCAGACGCTCGTCTTTCCCTTGCTGTCCTGCAAGGATGCAGGGCGGGCAATCCTGTCCTTCCTCCTGGAAGGCCGGTCTCCTCCCCGGCCCCAGGTTCTTCCTCCCACAGCGATGGCAGAGCAGCGGGATGTGGAAGCCGCATTCTCCACGGGTGGCAGATGGTCTGGACAAGCTACAACCTGGCACGTGGGGAAAAACAGTGCTGGGGACCTCTCAAGGAGAGGATACAGATCTGTGCCCTCAGTTTATCCCAACACTCAGATTCACACATACTGATCAGACGTGTAGATGCTGGAAAGCTTAGGATGAAAAATACCCAAATACAAACAGGACGTTAACTCGGCCCAACTCAGATCTGGAAGCTCCATTTCTGCTTTAGCCGTCGCCTCCTATTAGTCTACCTCACGGACACGACATGGCTACTGGTTCAGCCCTCCATATAAACTCCACTACTACTAACTGAACGGCATAATATTAATACAAAGAGGACACTGTTCTTTAAATCTGTTAGTTGTGGAAGAGATGTGCGTTAATGCAATTGGCGCTAAACTCAGGGCAGTCTGCCTATTTCCCAATAAATTTCACTTAGTCTGGGGACTAACTTCGGGGAGGAGCCAGCCTCTCCTGAAATCCCTCCTTCTGTTTCCTTATGTAGCCAACATGATCTGATTAATACTTAATCAGATGAGCAAAAGCCACTTGAAGAAAGATGAGAATCTTTGCCACATCCTGTGGCCACAGTAATATACTGTACGAGCGCACATGATCAGTAATTCTGTGACTGTGCCCTGAACGAGGCCTGGTCTTGAGTCTCATATAAAAACGGACCGCTGGTAGGCACGAGGGCTGCCCCCTCGCTGCTTCTAGGGCCCGCAGCATTTGTGCTATGGTAAGAGATGACATAGAAAATGACAACAAAAAAGGCACAAAATATCCAAAACATGGGAAGAGTCCCCCAGGCCACCCAGTCACATGTAATCCTCCTTGTTTTTGCTCCATTCGAAGTCATCATGCAAAGGTGCCTAGAAACAAGACGGGCCAAACTCGAAGCCTGGCCTTGATTGTAGCAGTGCGGACGGGCCCCGCCGCCATCACACCAGCGTGATCTCCACGTCCTCGATCTTCTCTGCCGGCCGTCGGTGGCTCTGTGTGGGCGGCGGGGGAGCTGCCCGGACCTGCGCGGGAAACAATCACATGGATTGTCAGCTGGCTTCCTGCCTGGGTGCCTGGAGCTTCCTCAAACCCCCGCCACTCGTCTGTCCGAGGGCCCGGGCTGCCTCGCTGTCTCAGAAATGCTCCGAGCTCACGCCGTCAATCTAATCTTCACTGTCTCCTGTCTCCCACACCGAGAAGCAGCTGCTGCTTGGATGAAACGTGAAACCCACGAAGCAGGTTGCGGCCTCGCAGAAAGTCCTGTGGGCACAAGCCTCACTGGGGCCCTAAGGACCTTCTCAGGCCCAGGCCTGAAGTGAGAGAAGTGAGAGAGAGCAACGCTCAGCGAGCGAAAGCCTCAGCCTGTCTCGGGAGGAGAGATGGGCTGGGTTGGGTTGGGGGGCCCGCCGAACCATGTTAAGAAGTACGTGTGTTATTCTGTAGGTAAAGAGGAGTCCCTGGTGGATTTTAAGCAGTATCAGACATGGGAAAAGATGACTCAGGTAACATTTTGGAAAAAAGATCAGAGGTGGGCAAGAGTACGAGCAGGATGACAAATCAGCTGTCTGTAATCATCCGAGTGAGAGCTGACACAAGCTGGAACTAGGGGCCCAGCCGTGGGGGCAGTAGAGAAGTGAAAAGATTTGAGAGCTGTCCCAAGGCAAACCGCGCGGGGTCTGATGACCACACCTGTGTGTGTGCGAGAGGTGGGGCCAGCAGAGCACTGAGCGCTGGTAGGGTGGGAGTTCCTTCCACGGGCACTAGAGGGGAAGGAGCACATCGGGTGGGAAGATGCTCAACTCACTTTACTGAGCTTTGGGGGTGTGGGACAGAGACACGGAGATGCTCACAAGTCTGCAGCCCAGGGAGGAGACTGCACTGATAGCTGTAATCTGTGAGTTGTGGGGACACAAATGGCTGTCAAGACTGCGGAAGCAGTTAGATCACCTGGGGAGAGTGCACTCAGAGACTCCAAGAGAAGCAGCCCAGGGACGGAAGCATGGGAAGCACTGCAGAGACGGAGAGGCAAGGCGTGTGCACAATCCACGGAAAGGAAGGGCCTGAGAGGGAGAGGCGGGCAGCAACCAGGAAGTGTGGTGAGGCTCTCTCCAGTGCTGCCCACCACCCGACCTGTGCCACCACCGCCTCCTGGACCACCTCCAGTCACTCCCCACCGAACTGCCAGAGCGATGCTTATTTATTTATTTTTTAAAGATGTATTTATTTATTGGAAAGGCAGAGTTAGAGAGAGAGAGAGAAAGAGAGTCATCCATCCTCTGGTTCACTCTCAAAATGGCCATAACAATGGCTGGAACTTGGCCTATCTAAAGCCAGGAGCCTGGAGCTTCTTCCAGGTCTCCCAAGTGGCCCATCTTCTACTGCTTTTCCCAGGCCACAGCAGAGCTGGATCAAAGTAGAGCAGCCAGGACTCAAAGCAGTACCCATAGGGGATGCCAGCACTGCAGGCAGCTACCTTACCCACTATGCTACAGTGTCAGCCCCCATAGCAATGCTTTAAAAATTCAAAAATTCAAAACCAGTCACCTGGCAGTATCTTCCTGTCAGATTTAGGATAAAGACTCAAGTCTGTCACAAGGCCCTCAGTACAGATGTGCCGAATGGATGAAGGCAAAGGTAGCCAGTGGTTCAGGGAATGCTGGCAGGTGAAGGAAATGAAATGGTGTCTACTGAAGTGAGAGCCGTGACTCAGGCGCAGAGATGGCGTCACGGTGGCAGGTGCATCGGGGTGAGCAGAGGTGGCATCTTTGAGATTGCATTCTCCCTGAGAACAGGAGCTCTCTGAGGTCATGAAGCCTATCTTACTTCATCTCAACGTCTTCCAAAGAGGCAAATATAGGCCTGGAAAGTAGGTTCTCAATAAATGCGTGCTAAAAGCAAAGTGCTTCTGTTTCACAGTTGGACCACCTGACGTTCAGAGACCTTGCTATAGCGTAACACACGTCTGTGGCTATCATCCAGCCATCTCGCCATGGCTCAGTGAGAACCGCACCAGTGCAGACTAAACATCCCGAGATGAACCGATTTTTATAGCCTTCTGGTCAATAGCTCTTTTTCCCTTCCCATACCCATTTCATCCTTGCTTGGCAGAGTCAGCAACAACACAGAGGCCATGGGGAGCATTCATTTCTGACCGTCGACTTGGAAGAGCTCTGCACTCTGCAACACGGGCAGCCAGCAGACTTACCGGTCGCAGTTTGCCGTATGAGGTCTCGGGAGTGTGCCTGGACGCCTGCGAGAATCCTGGTGATTCCGCGTGGAGGCTGTTTTCTAAGGGAGAGGATCAAGGAAGTTCATTTTATTTGTGTTGCTGAGCAGTGAAAATGCTAATGCAGTTCTGTGTGTGCCCTTCAGGTGAGTCTGCATTTCTTTAGCCCACACCCCGGAAACCCTTACCATTCGCTGAAGGAGACCGGGGGAAGTACTGGGAGCTCCTCTTGTCTGGGCTGGGGTAGGGGCTGCTGGGAGGCTGGTCGTACAGCGGCAGTGGAGGCAGCGAGGTGTGCGGCTTGGGGGAAGGAGAGATCTGCAGCAAAGGGAGGGAGGTTACGGGGCGCGCCTCCCCAGCAAGGAAGGCTGGAGCTTCTCTGCCTGCGCTGCTCAGGTTCCTCCTGTCCTCTGGAGGCGGCCCTGAAACCTGGTAGCCCCATTGGAAGCAAATGGGCTTAAAATAGCCACCCCCAAGCCCTTCTGTGTTGCACTTAACTTCTTCCTCTTGCAGACCTCATTAAGCTACTGATCTCAGTTTATCTGAAACAGTTACCAAGTGGCACCATTCTCTAGGGTTCTACTGAGAATGTATCAAATTACCCAATCCAGTAAATCCAATGAGGAACGAAAAGAGGCCAGTTTTTTTTTGGAGGGGGTGGGGGCGATGAAGATAAAGTAACTGGCCGGGTTTCTGCTGTACACGTCAGACTGAGCGGTCACAGTCACCATGCAACAAGATAGCAAACTCATTTCCTACTGTGAGAGATTCCCAGAGAGAACAAACCAAACTGTGACCAACTCAGGGCTTTCCTTCAAGGCGAGTTTCCCTGTGAGGAGCTCAGCCAAGGGCCCCTTGAGTGTGGGATGCGGGCTCTGGAGGGTCCTGGCTACCAGGGAGGGAGGCTCTGACAGTGGCACAGAGAGCGAGCCCGCCGATGTTTCACCACACAAACCAGCCACAGAGACCACACATTCCCTCTCTGGTTTTGCTTTTTTTCTCTCCACCAAACTGAACTTTGGTATGTCATGTGCAATTTAGCATTTCTGTTAACCTATTCAGAGAAAAGAACACGGAGAATGGAGGTGTAATATTCCAAAAGGGCCTGGCTGACACATCTCTGGTTTCCCGATTTGGTTCTGCAGACACATGTAACTGAGGACTGGGGTAGCAGGGGTGAGATAGAGACTATGGCCCACCTTTGCCTAGACCGACAGATCTCCCCCTTCTCATGTACCTGAATCTCTCTCATCCAGGGAGTATCACCATTCTCTGAGGCTGAAAGTTCTTCCACTAGCACCGATGGGAAAACTCCAATCCGTCCACTGAATTCCCCTTCCCAAAAGCCATCATCATCTTGGTTTTCTTTGTTCACGATGCGGATGATAGCCCCCTCCGGAAAAGACAGCTCATCATCTGTCTGGCCCTCATAATCATAAAGTGCTTTCACAAAACAGACTAGGGAGCAAGAGAGAGACGGGTCTGGTAAGAACACTGACACCCAGGTGGCTCTGCAACACCCCCAGTGCTCACGTGACAGCCAAAAGGGCATCACATGGAAAGCAGCAAAGCTGTCGCTTCTTTACCTCCTGAAGATCACCTCTAGGGTTCCACTATCTAGGACTAACAGGGCCAAATACCAGAAAACATGTTGTGGGGTAGGAATAAAGCTGTGCTTTTGAACCTGCAGGGTAACACGGTTTAGGTCGAAGGTGACAAACAGAGAGTGCCACGCTCAGTCTTTACCGCTGGCGTCTCCGTTGAGGCTGCCCGAGACGAGCTCCGCTTCTGTGGAGTTGCTGGATGTGTGCGAGCGGCTGTCCAAGGCGGCCAGGGACTGCAGCATGCTCAGCAGGCTGTTCGAGGTGGGGAACTGCAGGTACTTCTCTGGCACATAACCCACCTGGCCAACTTTATTCCGAGCCTGGGTAAGAGACACGTCACAAGACAGGTTTGCACACATGAACTGGACAGGGCAGGACAAGAACCAAAGCAAATTCCTAGAAATGTCACAAGAAGGGGCGATATGAGCAAAGGAATATACCTTCACCCAGTCTTCCATATCTCCATCTTCAATCACTTCTAACACCTCATGCTCCTCAATGGTCAACTCATCTGGTTGAGAAGCCTGCAGTGTGGGATGGTCATGGACAAAATTAAAAAGGTTAGATAAGGAGCAGGTGTGCGCTGATCACAACAAAAACTGGGGATCAAAATACTGAAATGATTTTGAGAAACAGAAAAATTTTAATGCTGTAAAACTATCATAATGAAGTGAAGTTTTACTTTCAAAAACGGAGCAAAATAAAATCACGACAAAAACTGAAGAAACTGAATCTTCAAGAGGCAATCAGGTTTGGTGAACAGAGCACCACGCTGGAAGTCGAGGCCCTTGGTTCCAGCTCTTGTGTCTACTGGTAAGTCGATCAACGTGATGCCTGCATTTCCTGCCACTCCCTGGAAGACGGGGAAGTCAACGTGGGATGGAAACACAGAGCCATGATGACGTGGGAAGCACAGGCAAAATAGATGGCGCCGAACTGGACCTGTGACCAGCGGGCTGCATGGAGGTGCATGCTGTGAGAGTGCAGAGAGCAATGTCCATGGATTAGATGATGGCTTGAGCACAGCCTGGGGCTGATCCAGAGTCACTGGAACACGTGCGCAAAAGAATGAAATTGTGGGACAGGAAGTGACTGAATGCAATCAAGCTTTGGATTTATTGTGCTCTGACTTCAGTGTGGAGACTGGGCTTATCTAAACACACATATTGTGGTGGTGCAATTAGCCCTGACAGCAGGAATCTGCTAGTACCAGCCACCCCGATGTTGCCCACGAGACCGCTAAACCCGAGAAGAAACTGTCAGAGGCTCAGCAGAGAGGCTGGAGAATCCGTTAAGTTCTGCTTCCCAAGGCAGGGGCGGGATGCATCTCGCGGCTCTCTAGTAAATAGTCCTGACAGCTTTCCCAAGTCCAAGATCAGTTCAAACCATGACCTAAGACTGTACAGTCTTTCAAACTGACAATCTCAGTGTAAATAAAATACCTTCACGTTACACAAACAAAAATAAAGCAAGAAAATAGGTCACTTCTAAGAATAACTTAATGAACATTATTAAAACATTTACTCAAAACCTAGATTCTGGATGAAGCCTTAGGCCGACCAATCAGAATATTCCAGAACCAGATTTTTAAGTAAATTACCTCTTATCTAAAAATATGAGGGAGGAAAAACCTGTCCACTTATTCTTGACAGCTTTTCCAGGAAAATTTCTTTGCTACTCTGAAGCCATAGTATGCCTTGCATAGACCAGCAAAAGGCAATGCTTTCCTAATTTCAGGGAAAAACTTAACAAGTATCAACATGACCAGTCCATAATGTGTGTGAGCACAAAGCAGGAGAGATACAGGTCTTATTTAAATATGTTTAAATATTTAATACAGGTCTTATTTAAATATATTATATAATTAAAATTATATAATTAAAATATATTTAAATGGATTGCTGTCCTCACACAAAAGTCACAGAGGCCCATGAAAGTTGTTTGGTGTACCCCAGCTTGACTAGACCGTCCCCACGCATGATGACCAATTCTTCCACTCTACAAGGTCAAGTCCTTGTAATGGCAACCAAGATCCTACAGAGTTTGGTCCTCATGAGTCGCCTGGTGCTCCACTCCTTGTTCTCTGAGCATATCTGGCCTCTATGCTTCCACCAGGCTGCCCTCCTATCCAGCACACCCTCTCCCTCTTTCCCATAGGATGAGTGGATAACATTTCTGTGAGGTTAGAGCCAGCTTTAGTTTGTTTCTAGGAGAAAGCAACTATAAGACATCTTTGAAACTCAATTTTCTTTTTTCCATTAGAATATAAGCTCCATGAAAGCAGAGGTTTTTTGTTTGTTTGTTTTTTGTTTTGTTTTGATCAATGTTATATCCCAGAACCTAGAAAAGAGCACAACACTAGTACACGGTAGATACTCAAGTATCTGTTGAGTGAGCGGTTTGTCTGATAATATTGTCCTGTAGGGTTTGTTTTGTTCTAATTTGAGAGGCAGAGAGCGAGAGAGCGAGCTTCCATCCAGATTCACTTCCCAAATGTTTGCAAGGCCAGGGCTGGGCAAGGCCAGAGCCAGGACCAGGAACTTAATCCCAGTTTCCAACCACCTGAGCATCACCGCTGTCTTCCAGGGTCCACATTATCAGGAAGCTTGAATCAGGGCCTAGAACTGGGCATCAAACCCAGGTACTAAACAATATGGGACCTGGGTACTCTTACTAGTATCTTAAACTCTAGGCCATATGCCTCCCCCACTCCTTATTGGGTTACGGAAGAGATTAGAAATAAACAATAATAGCTATTAATATTATGCATGGGGTGAGGTCCAGCACATAGGTTTCCCCAAAACTCCCACAGTGGGCTGGTTGCTTCCTCCTCCTTCCATTCTTCTAAGGCTTTGAAGACCCCTCTGACACTGACTGCCAGGGCACTCTAGCCGTGTAGCCCCGTAGACCACGGAGAGGGAGCAGCAAGGGCAACCACGTCAAGAAGGACTCTGGCACCTCTGAAGACTACAAGGCAGCAAGAGTGGCCCATGTGGAGTTCGTGGCTGGGGTAAGGGAATGGGCGGACACAAACCTGGACTAGCAGGGGACCAGTCAGCTGCACACTATGGGCTGCAGGGAGGAGTTCTCAGGGTTTTTCCTACATGTGATGGAAAGCTTAACGAGGGTCTCAGGAGGGGGAGGAAGGGGAATAAAATAACATCCTTCATGTGTTAAAGATAATTCTGGCTGCAGTGCAGAAAAAGGGCTATTGAGAGGCAAATATGAAAGAGAAAGACTCAATTATAAGTACTCCCCCCGCTTCCTTTACAGTTATCAAAGCAATGGCCTAGACCAACACGGTAGCAGTGTTGATAGTAAAAGTGAAGAAATTTAACGTATGTTTTGGGGGGGGGGCTCAATAGCACTGGCTGAGGGGAGTGCGGGAACGCGGTGAACTGGGGAAGTGAAACACTGACTTTGTGGTGAGTAAAATGTTAACTGGACAGTAGGACGGGGTGACAGAGATTAAGAACTATTAGATCAAATCAGGTTTGGAAATTCTGTGTCTGATTATCTGGGTCCCTGGTTAACATGCATAACAAGAGGTGGCGATATCAGGATGAGGGAAGGCCAAGTTTTAAAAATCACTTAGTGAAATAATTTTCCTCTGACTTCAATTTGAGGATCATCCTAAGGAGGGTCTACATGCCACCCAGGTGAGAAATACATAGTGGAGAGAGGTCTACTTACTGAAAATTCACCAGATGCCAAGCACTGCACTAAGCACTTTGCTATAAAAGCATTATCTCACTGAATTTTTCACACTTTACCCCTAGGATATGGATAAGGAAATGGAGGCTCACAGAAATAAGGGACAAGTGATAGGTCGTATCACAAACGAATGGCAGCAACAGGACTTTAACCTGGACAGTCTGAAGTCAGAGCCTACTGTGTTATGTTGCCCCTGACATTAACGGAACACCAATTCTACACTAAGTACAGTATGAGAGGCTAGGCAGATAGAGTTGCACATACGCTCAGAGTTGTCATTATTTAACATTAGCAGTATGCTATAAAAATACAAACCTTGTAGGAATAAACAACTTTGCAGGTGAGTGGGTAATTTCTTAAGGTGCCAGAAGGGCTGGAACTGCTGTCGTCAAAAGCATCCATGTTGTCTTCAAACTCTTCTCCTTCTTCTCTTTCGGTGTCTGCATTAAGCTAGGGAAAATTAGAAGTCATTGTTTACTTTCTTCAAGAGAATGCTTGAAAGTAGGAAAAACATTTAAAGTCTGTTTAAAAATGCTGATCTAGGTGCTGGTGCTGTGGTGTAACAGGTAAAGCTGCTGCCTGCAGCAACAGTGTTCCATATAGGCACCATATTTGTCCTGGCTGCTCCACTTCCAATCCAGCTCCCTAATACAAAAATGGAAAAGCAGCGAGGATGGCCCAAGTCCTTGGGCTCCGGCAACCATATGAAAGAAAGGAAGCTCCTGGCTCCTGGCTTCAGCCTGGCCCAGCCCTGGCTATTGCAGCCATTGGGAAGTTAACAAGCAGATCTCTCTCTTTCTCTCTGCCTCTGCCTTGCCTTCTCTGTAACTCTTGACTTTCAAATAAATAAAAATAAAACTTTAAAAAAATAATAAAACAAAATGCTAATCTATCTATTCAACTGCAATAATCATGTTCTCATTTGCATTTTTCATGTCAAGAAAGAACAGGGTTTTTTTTTTTTCTTTTTTAAGAATTTATTTATTTACTTGAAAGGCAGAGTTACAGACAAAGACAAGTAGAGACAGAGAAAAAGGTCTTTCATTGGCTGGTTCACTCCCCAAATGACCGCGACAGCTGGAGCTGGGCCGATCTGAAACAAGGAGCCAGGCACTTCTTCTGGGTTTCCTACGTGGGTTCAGGAGTCCAAGCACTAGGGCCATTTTCCACTGCTTTCTCAGACCATCAGCAGACAGCTGGATCACAAGAGCAGCAGCTGGGACACAAAGCAGTGCCCATATGAGATGCCAGATCGCAGGCAGAGGCTTAGCCCACTACACCACAGAACTGTCCCCGGGATGGGGATTTTTTAAACCCAACGGTAAAATATCAGTATGTGAGAAATATTGATCAGTATCTTTCTCAGAAGGCCTCTTACCATTTTAAACCGATCTTATTAGGAAATACTAAAAAGATTTCTAAGTGCTATCAAGGATGTGGTGAAACAGGCAAACAGGCTTTCATCCATGGCTGGTAGGAACATGAATTCATAGGTCCTTTTTGGAAAAATAACCTGCCTAAAACTAAAACATACCACTTGACCTAATAATTCTACTTTTGTGAATCTACCATGAGAGTAAAATCACCAGGATATAAGACTATATTCTAAGATAGTTACTGCAACTTCACTCACAACAGCAAAAGCCTGGACACAACCTGTACGTCCATCAATGGGAGAATGTTTGAATGACCTATGGTGTGTCTATACTTAGATGACTATCACCCATCAAAAATGAGTTTGAGAAAAGAAAGCTCAAGTATAAATCCTCACAGATATGGTTACATGATTTTCAACAAGAGTGCCAGGATTATTCATTAGGGGAAGGACGATTTTTCAATAAATGTGGCTGCAAAGACTGGATAGCCACACGTGAAAGAATGAAGCTGGAGCGTTTCCTTACTCAGAAGTGAACTCAAGTGGATCGAAGACCTGAATGTAAGGAATAAAGCCACAAAAGTCTTAGAAGAAAACAGGGATAAGCTTCATGACACTGGATCTGACAATGTCACTAAAGCACAGGCAAGAAAAGGAAAACCAGACATTTGGACTTTATCAAAATTAAGAATTTTTGTCCATCAAAGGACAACAAGGTGACAAGTGACAAGGAAACCCACAGAGTGGGAGGACATATTTGTAAATTACATTTCTTTTTCTTTTTCAAGATTTCTTTATTTTATTTGAGAGGTTGAATTACAGACATAGAGAGGGAGAGATAGAGACAGAGGACTTCCATCCACTCATTTACTCCCCATATGGCCACAACAGCTGGAGCTGGGCAGATCTGAAGCCAGGAGCCAGGTGCTTCTTCCTGGTCTCCATGCGGGTGCAGGACCCAAGCACTTGGGCCATCCTCCACTGCCTCCCCGGGCCACAGCAGAGAGCTGGATCGGAAGAGGAGCAGCTGGGACATGAACCGGCACCCATATGGGATGCTGGTGCTGCAGGCAGAGGCTTCACCTTTTATGCCACAGCACTGGCCCCCATAAATTATATTTATTTATTTATTTATTTTTTGGACAGGCAGAGTAGACAGTGAGAGAGACAGACAGAGAGAACATAAATTATATTTCTAATAAGAGAATAGTATATAGGTATATAAATAATACTCAAAGTCAACAAAAGCAATACAATAAAAAAAATGGGCAAAGGACTTGAATAGATGTTTCTCCAAAGAAGATACATAAATGGCCAATAAGCACATGAAAAGATGCCTGACAATATTAGTCATTATTCATCAAAACAAAATAACACTTGACATCCATTAGGACAACTATTCAAACAACAGAGCAAAGAGAAAATATCAAATGTTGGCAATGCTGTAGAAAGATTGGAACCCTTACACACTGGGAATATAAAATGCTATTACAAAACAATATGGTGCTTTCTCAATAAAATAAACACAGAATTATCAATAATTCACAATTTATTTTTTCCCATTGGTCTTTTTTATTATTATTAGCATTTACTATTATTATTTTTATAGAAAACTTTTATTTAATAAATACAAATTTCAAAAGTACAACTTTTGGATTATAGCGGTTCTTCTCCCCATAACCACCCTCCCACCCATAAGCCATTCCATCTCCTACTCCCTCTCCCATCCCATTCTTTTTTAAGATTCATTTTAATTATCTTTATATACAGAAGAGCAACTCTATACTACGTAAGGATTTCAACAGTTTGCACCCACACAGACGCACAAAGTATAAAAGTACTGTTTGAGGCCGGCGCCGCGGCTCACTAGGCTAATCCTCCGCCTAGCGGCGCCGGCACACCAGGTTCTAGTCCTGGTCGGGGCGCCGGATTCTGTCCCAGTTGCCCCTCTTCCAGGCCAGCCCTCTGCTGTGGCCCGGGAGTGCAGTGGAGGATGGCCCAAGTGCTTGGGCCCTGCACCCCATGGGAGACCAGGAAAAGCACCTGGCTCCTGGCTCCTGCCATCGGATCAGCGCGGTGCACCGGCAGCAGCGGCCATTGGAGGGTGAACCAACAGCAAAGGAAGACCTTTCTCTCTGTCTCTCTCTCTCTCACTGTCCACTCTGCCTGTCAAAAAAAAAAAAAAAAAAAAAAAAAAGTACTGTTTGAAGACTAATTCTACTGTTAATTCTCATAGTACAACACATTAAGGACAGAGGTCCTACATGGGGAACAAGTGCACAGTGATTCCTGTTGTTGATTTAACAATTGACACTCTTATTTATGACGTCAGTGATCACCTGAGGCTCTTGTCATGAGCTGCCAAGGTTATGGAAGCCTCCTGAGTTCACAAACTCCAACCTTATTTTGACAAGGTCATAGTCAAAGTGGAAGTTGTCTCCTCCCTTCAGAGAAAGGTACCTCCTTCTTTGATGGCCCCTTCTTTCCACCAGGATCTCACTCACAGAGATCCTTCATTTAGATCATTTTTTGCCACAGTGTCTTGGCTTTCCATGCCTGAAATACTCTCATGAGCTTTTTAGCGAGATCCAAACGCCTTAAGGGCTGATTCTGAGGCCAGAGAATAATTCACAATTTCACTTCTGGATATATAGTCAGAAGGACTGAAAACATGGACTTGAATAGATATTTGTAAAGCAATATTTATAGCAGCAGTATTTACAGTGGCCAAAAGGCAGAAGCAACCCTAGGATCCACTCACAGATGAACAAAATGTGTGTGTGCATGTATAGACAAAATATTATGTGTGTGTGTGTGTGTGTGTGTGTATAATGGATTATTCCATCTTAAAAACAAAGGAAATTCTATGCATGCCACAACATGGATTTACTTTGAGGACATTATGTTAAGTGAAAACAGTCACAACAAGACAAATATTATGATTCCATGTATATGAGATACCTAGAGTAATCTAATTCATATAGACACAAAGAAAAATGGTCATTGCCAGGAGATGGGGACAAGCATTGGGGAGTTACTGTTTGATGAGCACAGACTTTACTTGTGCAAGATGAAAAGATTTCTGAAGGTGAATGGTGGGATGATTCTGCAACATGAATGCACTTAATACCACTGAACTGTGTAGACAGGATGGTAAACTGGTATATTTGACCCTCACACACATGCATATATGACAGGCACAATCCCTTCTGAAATGTAACACAAGGGAGATACAGTTTTTAGCTTAGTTTCAAGGTACATTACCCATCACAGTTAAAAGGTATATATTAATTAAAATTATATTGACTATAAAAAAGGAAATCCATATGTATTTTTCTAGAGCACTGACCATGGTACTCTAAATACAAATAATACTCATATTTACTCAGGACCAACATCTGACAGGGGAAGGCAGAATAAGAACAAATTACCCATCCATGGTCAGTCAGGCTAGTAGCAAAACAGGCTCAGACCTTAACTCCTCATATCTCAAACTTACAATTCTATTGTCTTCCAAACAAGCATCATGTCACATAAAAGATAAATCTGTGGGGCCAGCATTGTGGCACAAGTGGGTTAAACCACTGACTGCAATACCAGCATCCTACATGGGTGCCAGTCCGAGTCCCAGATGCTCTACTTCCCATCCAGCTCCCTGCTAATGCTCCTGGGAAGCTAACGCTCCTGGGAAAACAGCAGAAGATGGTCCAAGTCCTTGGGTCCCAGCACCCACGTGGAGAGACCCGGAAGAAGCTCTTGGTTCCTGGCTTTGTGATGGCCCAGCCCTGGCTGTTGCAGCCACCTGGGGAGTGAACCAATGGATGGAAGATCTCTTCTCTCTCTTTCTTTCTATTTTTCCCCCCAACCAGTCCCTGTTACTCTGCCTTTCAAATAAAAAAAAGAAGAAGAAGAAAGAAAATGATGACATTCTAGACACTGCCACAAAGCTAACTTTATTTTTTAATTTATTTGACAGAGTCAGACAGTGAGAGAGAGAGACAGAGAAAGGTCCTCCCTCCGCTGGGTCACTCCCCAAATGGCCGCTACGGCTGGTGTTGTGCCGATCTGAAGCCAG